TTTGGATATTTGAAGATGCTTGATAGATGGTGTCCATGAACCTCCTCAAGTGAAAAAAAACTTTAGTTTAAACAATTTCGATGCAACAATGAGCGGTTTCTTCCTTTCGGGAATCCTGACAAAGACGCTTTCTGAAGTTAATTCTTGAATGCCTCTTCTACCTCCATCATAAATTTCATATCTTGATATGAAAACAAGTATTTCAAGCCCATACCTCATACCTAGCCCATAATCAGAGTAAGGCGACACGTTTTGGGCAAAAGCTTTGATGTCAAGCAGATGTCAATGAGTCATGCTTTCGACCATGTATTCGAAATCGTTTGCTCAAAAGAGTGTACAACTCACCACGTCCTTGCTCATGACATAGTGCAACAAGTTGTTGCCAATTGACTGTTTCTCGTGCCCATTCGATGGCCGCTTCCCGATCTTGTGTGCAGACAGCTGTGCATAGCACCTGAATAATTCGCCCATATTTTATGGAAGGTAGGGTTATTAAGGAAAAGCACCATTAAAAGAGCACCATTGTAGAACTTCTAGGCAGCAAGAGGAAAAAAAACTGAATTGCATGATCATAGCGCTAACTTTGATGTTCGATAATATGAGGATAACAGCAAAGCGAGAGTACAAACCTGCATTTCTACTTCGCTCAGTTGCACCAAATGATTAGTCATGAGATACAGCAAGAAGTGGAAGTTTGTGGCCTGCTCGAGGAACTGATTCAAAGAGTACTCAGCACAATAGGCGCTCAAATTCGCACCACCCTGAAGGAATCGAGTCAGACAGAAGAACGGCAAAGGTCCGGACCATGTTCTCCCGGCCCAGCAAAGCTTACACTTTGTACATTACGTAGTAGACGACAGGCTCACTCATACGCTGTGATTGGCCGACGTTTTCTATGACAGCCACGTTGGCATAGAAAAGACATAGACATAGATGTATACACACCGAGAATTCCAAGGCATGCAACGGTTCACTATACATTATTTGTACTTTGCAAAGGTTCACCAGGCAAATGAACGAAACAGGGAATAGTGACGGTATCAATATTCAGCGAAAGCCGAACTCGTGTTGCGAGTACAGAGCTCTCTCGTTTTTACACACGATACTCCCCAAAGTAGAAGAGGTACACTCATACCTGCGTCGTTCCCATCGAATCTCTGTTCTCAATATTAAAACGAGCTACAGGCGGAGGTGGCGAAAACGTGTATTGCGGCTCTTTTGGCATTCCAGTAGGTACGTCAACCTAAACGAAGCTACTCCAGTACCAATCAAGCAACCAAAATTCAAGGCGAATTGGCTAATGAATACAAAACATTCAACAAAAAGGCATATCAAACCAGACCAGAAGAAATTCCACTGGTAAAGGACGAGCGTCTTTCAAAACTTCCGCGCCATACTGGTTTTTCTCCTGCAAAAATATTGCGCAATTGACTTTGATTGATGGGTCAGGAACTTTGTAAATCTTACAGTAAATTGGACATCCGTCAAGTATTGTGATTCTTTGAGTGGTTTTTCTCTTATGTATGCCAGTTCGGGGTGATTTGTGGGACAGAGAAGCTCCGCTTGAACCAGAGCAGTACACTGGTTCGAAACCTAGAAGTGAAACTCTACTGGTTCCAGAAAGTCGAAGCAAGGGAGGAAGAATTTAAACTAGAAGATTGATATGCAACTTACCTGATACCCATGGAAGTTTACTTGTTCTTGTTCATCTCCGCTCGCTACGACTGTGACAAACTTTGAGCCAAAATAGCGGTCCGAACAATATTCGGTGATGTTTGGATGTAAAGACTGTAGGTACCCTGCCGTTATGCATTCCTCAGCAGACAAGAAAAACGCGTGCTTAAAACATACATAACATGATCTTCAATCAATCCAAAAAGAAATTGAAGACAGGAAAGGCAAATTTATTGCACTGCCCTCGAATTATGTTAATGGTAAGATGCGATCTTACACTAACCCATATAATACGCCAATCTCACGTTATCACCAATCTGTCTCTCATGAAACTCATCCCACCGACTAGGCATCACACTTTTACGAGTTCCCAATGAGGAATCTCTCCAGACAAAAAGAATCTGAAGGATGCAAGCGGGACAATGGTTATGGCGCCACAAGCGTAAACTAATTGCGTGATTCAGTTAATCTTGAAGCATTGCGTAAGAAACGCAAAACGGAATGAAGAGGAGGAGAGAAACTCCTAGAGCTTTGAGATAAAAAACTATTCAAGGGCGCCATCTGCCAAAAGCTGCTGAGGAAATTCATGCACATCCGCGTGACTATTATGAACCTGACCTCCCTTACGTATACTTGGGAAGTTACAAATCACGCCATGCGATGTATTCAAGAGCAGAACTTTCCAAAATGAGAATTTCTCAAGCAGGAAAGGCCACTAACGAGAAAAGAAGTGTCCATTTGTATTCGCATTAGGTGGATAAACACCTACCTTATGCCTTGTGCAATGCACCGTTCCTTTCACTCGATCAGCTGACCAAAGGTCTGTGAAAATCCACCCTACACGTTTTAATCCCAACCAGTTACACAGCCGATCTACTGCCTAAAATAAAGAGTAATAGTAGAGACTAAGAGAGCTTCTGAGAGTATGTTACCTGTTCATTAGGATCATCGAGAATTTCTACACTATCAGGAGTGCAGTTTTGGGGAGGTTCATAAATAGCGGCAACTACAGCTTTTATACCAAGAGGAACGTCCGAAAATGGTTGATACCTGAAAGATGCTCCATATAAGAACTTGAACAAAGTTGATATACTGAGAAACTAACAAGTACCGATGTACCTACTTCCCAATGAGATATCCGACTCGCTGATTTCCAGTTGTGCGCCAAAAATTCAAGAAATCATTCACAATATCTTGGTTTTCGAAGAATATATTATCGACATGACGATACCTCTGCAAAAAAACGCAACATAACTCAATCAGGTTAGGAAATGATGAAATCAGGACTGGACCCCGGCCTCACAGTTGTAATCAGTGACAGAGCTATGTTAGACTAATCGGCAAATCAAATCGCTACTACGGGAAAGACTCTTTATTCCGAGTCATGACAGGATCACAACCACGAGAAATCGACATTGTCAACTGCGGCACGCTCTCATGTCATAGATTAAATCGAAAAAAAGGAGTGTTAGTTTCCATGAGCATTTGTGTTTTACTGACGGAAGGAGTCCGCTACGAGACCATTAACAATTCTAAAACTAACCTGCCGATTTAATGTCATCACTGGTGGTTTGCACTTCGTACATACTCCCTTGGGATAGGGTTTGTGAGCAGGACAGTTTAAATCAATAGTACATCTAAAAAAGCACTTGTAACTTGAGCTCACGCTGTTGCAAAGTGTATGGAATATCTTGAATTGAAAGGCTTAAGTACTTATGGAACATACCTTATATTCTCCAGCGGACGTTTTAACTGGGACCCTTTGCCATGACCTGATGTGAGTTTACGTACATGCGCATGAAAGGACATATGTTTGATATCCTTCGACTTCAAATAATCTTCATCGTATGGCTAAAATTTCGCAAATAGTCCAAATAGAAGGGAATTCATGGCATATATAATGCTCCGTTTGTTGGAACAAGTTTCCTACCACAGTACAACACACGCAATCAGTTCACTCATGATTAATTTACAAGGTACTTCATCTTAATATGAAGCCAAACGTATGAAGTACGAAAAGGCAAAAGACTATTTGTGAAGGTAAACTCGCTTACTCGAATTAGAAGCTACTGTAAAGTTCGCTAAAAAGTGAGGTAAACTAAAATACAAAAAACAGTTGGGTTGGCCTGAACAACTTTTCCGATTAAGGTTGATTCTACATTCCAGGGATTCGCTAATGATGCGCTTTCGAAGAATGAACTTCAATTTTACATTTGAATCGATTTCGACACGGAGCACACTGCGTCAAAACCGAAACAGAGATTAGAAGAATTTCATTGTAGTTCGAGCGAAATAGACTTCGATGCTCATTTGTTTGAGTTTGTCCACTGAAGCTCCATAGCTATTAGAGGGTCACATCCGTACGTCAAGCAACCCATTGATAATATGTGAAAGTATACCCAAAGGATGACACAGAACACGCATGTCTATGACCCTTCAAAAAGGATCCAAAATACCGTCCAAATAAAAAAAATCCTACATCTATCGGAAGACAGTGGGCACATTTCTGTCGAGCATTATGATGGCACATTTTTGGATCGCGTGAGCGTTTGATCTGTCCATCCTCGGCAGCAAGAATTAGATCAACTTCATCGAGCTTTTCCTTTTCATTCGCCTCCAGAACCATTTCCTGAAAATTGGTACTTGTTATCAAGCAGTACTAAACACCTGTCTCGACTGATATCGAAGAAGGACACATTGCAAAGATAGGGTTTTTGTGTAAAGAAATGGCTTTGAAATGATTCCATTTATCATCTTTTCATGACGTCGTCGTAAACCTGCAGACATCGTACGCAATTCTCATCCAAGCACTAAACTTGTCGGCAGAAGCGGTTGCTCTGCGTTGCGAACGGGTTGATGTCAATTTGGAACCACCTTGTATGTCGTAGCCGAATGATTCATAAAAAGTGTCGTGTCACCGGTGAGGATGAGCCGAAGGGCTCCTTTTCTGGTCCCAGGACGATTGATGACGAACTGTTTAATGGTCGAATTCTCAATATTTAGACGTTCCCTATTTACGGAGCAAGATTTATCGATGCAAAGTGCCTGATGAGAAGTTAAGATGGAGTGTACCATTTCCTGAATACAACCCACCAGACTACACTGATCCGAAAGTGATTGGCCGCGAATGGGCAGATCCAGAGCCAAATAAAGGCAATTTCATGTGGAATGCAGTTGATGGGAAAGTTAACAGGAAGTCATTCGTGTGGTAAGAAAGCGAAAACGCCTCTGTTGAAGGATCTCCTTCAGTTCTGATTCCATAGTTCTTTTCTTTTTGGTGAAATGTGATTTTTAAGTGACTACTCTTTCGATTCGATGTCCAGGCCAATAAATCCAATCGGTCGAACTGGACTTCGTGGGCGAGGCGTACTTGGAAGGTGTTATTTCCTTTTTAGACTGCAAGTTTTGCAAAGCCCTCCATTTCGAATTGTGGTGTAGGGTGTGAACGTTCTTTAAACAAACTTTAGCGTCGTTCAGGTGGGGGCCGAATCACGCTGCTGATCCTTTGGTCACCAGAGTCAAAGACGGTAAACTTCAATTTGTCGCAATAAGAAGATCGGATACAGGTCAGTCTTAGAGCGATCTTGAAGCTTTTCTGTCACATTCTACTGCCGGTTTGTGGCATTTGAAATTATTTTTTCAGTAACCTTGAAGCAGGTAATTAGTCCAGCTAATTTCTATATTTTAGGTGAATGGGCCATTCCCGGAGGCATGGTGGACGCGGGAGAGGTAGTCTCCGAGACACTCAAACGTGAATTTTCTGAAGAAACTTTGGGTGGTAAGGTACATTCTGAACTGGACACGTTGTGGGAGAACGGGCGAGAGTTGTATAGGTAAGAGGTGAGACCTTGGTTCCCGGTAATAAATCTCTTCATTCCTAAGGACTCAGGTGTGCAATTCATATTTTTCAGAGGTTACGTAGATGACCCTCGAAACACGGATAATGCTTGGATGGAGACAGTATGTGTCAATTTCCACGATTCGACTGCTCTTTTCGATAAAGTTGAACTCAAGGTTTGACCAAGTTCCTGAGAATAATAGCGGTGTTTACGATACAAAGCAAACAGATAAGTGCGTGACGGTGGTCAGGTGTGCGACAGGACTACTTGGATCCGCAGTAAAAGGTGGCAGTATTGGTAAACTGCGATTCTTGAGTATTGGGCATTGTGGGAACCTTTTTAATGCTATTCGTCTTTAGATGAAACCATTCATTTGAAGAAAGAGGAGGAAAACGCGAAAAATCACAATGGATTTAGAGGACATAGTACGTAGTGGTAAAAACTGGGAAATATGCTATGCCGTTGTTTTTGAATCGGTAGTTGCGATGCGGATCCAAGTGTTGCTATCGCCGTCAAAGTATCAAGTTCATTTCTTGTCATCAAAGGTCTAGCAACCTTGATTAAGGAGAAGTTTTTCGAGAATTGGCATTGATTGGGAGAAGACGAAAGAAGGGGGGAGAAAAGAGAATGATTGGGAGGAGATGAAAAAGAGGAAAGAAAGGGAGTGTGTGTTTCGATGTATTACGGTTTTTTCGATCGATGGGTCGATAGGCTGCGAGCCTCACTTTTCCCTTTCTTGCCCACACTAGAACGTCACTAAAACTGTCTTAGGACTAGGTTGTAGTACTGTAGGCCCATAATATTTTCTGGTTTAGGCTGGAAGCGACGCTGCGCATGTCAGGTGGATCACTGTTGATTCCAACGAACCTCTGTATGCCTCACACGAAGACTTCATTGCTCTATTGAAACGCCTCCATAATATCTGACAAGCGTCAGATTACGATACGTGTCCATTGATTATTTGCTGGATTTGCACCAAATTTTCACAAAGGATTTTTTAAAATTAAGAAGGAAAGCTCCGGTGACATATCCATATGGGCATAGTTAGGTCTGTCACTGTTTACTGAGCGTGGTTATTCATCATGAATCGTATTACCTGTTATTACAACATACTGTGTGCAAGATGTTCGGTCACGTTCGCGCCTCGAATTCGTATTTTTCCATACTGTATCAGGTTGTATGTAAAGTATCTGCAAAGTCCAGAATATTCTGGAAAGTTCTGGAAGTTTCCATTGAATTGCTATACCTTACCTTACCCACTTGTATGCGCATATGAGTCCGGCCACGTCTTTCTTGCTCATTTAACCATATCATGGCCGAACTGTTCCTAAAAACAATAGGGACTTCTCAAGTTTAGATCCAACCAACATGCTTTTGAAATCCTTTCATTCTCGTGTCGAGCATCTGGTATTAGAGTACCCTTTGAGCGCTTCCGTGCTCAAAGGGAACTCCAATACCTCCTCCAGTCTTCCAGCACTTCCAAGCCTGAAACAGAAGGTAGACGAAATTTTACTTGCTCAGTCTGCTGCGGTTTCAGAAAATCTCCTGATATGTTATGCGCGTACAAGTGAACCGTGCTTTTTCTTAGTATCCCATGTAAGCTCTCAGAAATTTCCGGGAAAAATCTGGACTATTGACAATTTACCTGTAGATGCTTTCCGTACAACTCATGAGGGCAGGTCTGTGCAACTGCCCTATAACGTCGAGGAACAACATGACATTCTGCTTACAGAGGCTTCATCTTTTCTCCTTTTCAAGGTGTATCTAGTATTATGTACAGTGATAACAACTATTCTTATAGATTTTCTTGTAAATTTTCAAACACTGAAACCATCAAAGTGGTTGGAAGTATTATTCTGATTCCCTTGCCGTCGATAAAAGATGAGCCCACGTTGTTATTTCTGCTGATAGGCTAGAGAGTTGAAAGAGCGTTAGCAAGCTGTTCAGTACGCCAGAGCAATGATGGCACACTTTAGTTATTTATTTACTAGAAGAGGTTTAACTTATGAGTCGACAAACTGAGGTATTTGTATTTGGCCATTTAGGTGACATTTACATGTAAACATCGACTCTGCTGGCTAATAGCAACCACGATGAACACATAGAGCTTAAAGAAGATAGCTTAACACAAACATAATTCGGCTCATTGCACCTTTTTCGACTCCCGAACACCGACGTTCCCCTTACCTATGTTTACTGCATTTCCCGTATTTGTTTCATGGTTGTTGTGCATACTAAACAATCTTCCTATCCATTTTCAGAAAAGTTGGACGCCATGATTCAATTTATAACCTCTGTAGGGTCGCAGTGGCATCGTGCCAACAGCAATGGCACCGTGCCAACAGAGTACGAAAAAGTTGGCATTTTGCCATGACCGCCGACTGTGGAATCAGGCTAGGTCCGCTACCTGGCAAGTGGAGGGAAATATGGGAGTTGTGAGATGTGAGACTATCTTCTTTGTTAACTCACCGCTTACCTCAAAGAAGTCCCCAATGGACTCTGGTAATGATACTTTGCAGCCGAGTACCCTAACGGCATTTTGGCTTCGCGCCAATCGACTGCCTCGCGTGTGGACGAGTTTTGTTAACAGCGCAACAGCCGCGTCCTTTATGGTCGTTGCGGGCGTGCGGAGCGGTTGTGCACGCTCATCCAGTTCCCATTTCGTTTTTGGCTTAAGATCAGGAGTGTGGACTAGTTTCGTTTTGTTTTACTTCCTACTACATGTCATTTGTGAAGCACGGTTGATTGAGTAGCTTCAAGTAATTGTTTACCGTTGCTTACTATTTATTGTCTGCGAGTTTACATTTTAGAAACAGCGGCTTTGTAGTTCATATTTTGGTCGATTGCTGGGCTGGTTTACACATTTCGTACATGGATGTGTGGAAATATGCTTCAAAATCCTCTTGACTTTCAGATCATCATGTCTCGACGTGCTCCACCACCGATTGAAGGGCTCTACTCTCTAAAGGTGAGCGTTGGTTTACCCTCCACAAAACTAGTTCTTTCGGTAAAACTAAACTGTAAACAGTGGCAGAACGGCTTGAAAACGCCCTGAGAAGTAGTCATATCGACCAGTCAGTCTTGCTGATGGGAGTATTTTTAAGGTCGATAACATTTCCTATAATACAACCCAAGCGGACCTTCGTCGAATGTTTGACAAATATGGAGAAATTGGGGACATTCATATTCCTAGAGACAAATACACTCGACAGAGCAAAGGATTCGGATTTGTACGTTTTTACAGGTAATGATTCAGTTTCTACTCTTTTTTATGGCAGGGTTTTAAACGTTTCGGCAACCTGTGCTCTCTTAGTCTGTTAGTGCATAGGTGATTATCGTCTATGCAGAATTTCCCTGTTTGACATAACTCGAATTCTTATAGTCGCCGCGATGCTGAGTACGCTATGGATCGAACTGATGGACGCTGGGTTGAAGGGCGTGAAATTCGTGTGGCAATGGCTCGCTATGAGCGGCCCATTGATGAGAGAGGAGCCTATACAAGACGTGGGAGGTAAGCTCGTCCTGAAATGATTGAGTCGTGTGGCAAAAGGAGAAAACGCTGAGTAACATTGAACAAGCCGTTCATGGCAACCTTTCAAAAGGTGCTATAGCATAAGATATTGGCTTCCAATCAAATATTCGGTATCACAGGTGATGCAGTAAAGGGTCCGTGAGCGATGCAAACATTGATAGTCCGAGCTATATGCGCTGTGTTGTCCCATAATTGCCCGGCCCTTCATAACGACAAACTATGTTTGTTGTACACTGCTCACGGATTCCGCAGGTAGCTCCTACAGCTGTTTGGGTGTTTGATAGAGTCAGCAGATACAAAAGTTCGTGCCAGATCTGGTTAGTAATTCTATTATATTGTGAGGGATATGTGCATAATGGCTTCTTGTCAAACATATTGCGATTCATGGAAAATGAGGATATCAAAGTTGACACATTCAAAGTCAAACACACGTGAATATGATTAGTACTCGAGAATTCCCTTATTGCTCGAGAATTACACGAGAATGAGCGGTGTGGATAAGTGTAGTGTAGTGATTACTTGCAGTGTTCCCATTTCTATGGAATGGAAACTTTGTTGAGTTCATGGGGAATTAGTCGAGTTCTCAGTCCTTTTTTTTNTTTTTTTTGGTAGGACGGTGTTGTTTACTAAAAACGATATCGTTCTCAATGCATTAACTTCACCAAAGTAAGCGTGTTCTCAAGGTAGATAATAAGTTTTTCATTTCAGCTAAAAGATTGTCTTGGGGGTACGAGCAACGGGGATAACGCTACAATATTAGTTTTTGCCTCTTTCGACGCTGCGGATTTCAGAAACACGAACACTGCAGATGTATCACACTATGCATCAATTCAGTGTGTGTTCGCTCTCTTGAATGGAATTGGCGTGACAAGTTGTGGCTAAGAAGCTTTTAAGGATTAAGGGTAAATAAGCATAGCAACGGCACGAACTTTTGCAATCACTCGATAAATCATATCACGAACGTTTTTGCTTCGCTTAGCTACCGTGCAATCAAATATTCATTTGACAAGTAGAAAAGGGGGTTCCAGTTTTTACCAAATTGTAGCACCGTTTTGTGTTTTCTTATTCGCCATCAAAAAATAGACTTTTTGAACTGTGCTTGTCGCAGGTCGGCCGTAGCTGGGTTTGCAGTCACGGCCGCTGTTGGCGGCTAGTAGCAGAATTGCTGTCGAGCAGAGCAGAGCAGAGCAGCAGTAGCAGTTCTGTGACCAGATGTGCAGCCGTGCGGTGCAGTATCAGTGCAGAACAGCACTTCCGGGTGCAGAACCTGAGTATCAGCTTCTGCAATGCTGAATGAACCTGTTATTGCCGATTCCATGGCCATGGTGGTCGGTAATCAAGCTCTCTGAATAGTTGCAGCGTTTTCCGCGTTTTCTATCACATCGAGCAGCTCACTCATGGTGATAATTTGTCCATTGTTGGTTTGAAGAAATGATGCAGGTCTTGCTACGACTCTTCGCACGATTTCTCATTGTTGAGTTAAACAATTATCACTTTAAATTTTGAGAGCTTTCGAGCCTCTGCGCAGAAGCTCAACAGCGCGTTTGCTCGAAAAGCATTTAAAGAGAGAGAAGCATTGCATAAAACCGAAAAGTGACAAAGGATCGTAGATTATCGTGCGATGTGGTCCAAACAAGACTGTGAATCATCAATATTGAAACATATTTTTATTCGTTTCTTAGGTCGCGCTCGCGGTCTCCTCGTCGTCGCAGCCGAAGCCGTTCTCCTCGCCGTTCAAGATCTCGCTCACCCCGTAGCAAGAGTCGCAGTGCATCGGTGAGTTGAAATTAGCAGACCACATCATACTCTGTTGATTCATCGGAAAGTCATGCCTGGCATTCCTGCATGTTCAAGTGTTGCTGGTACACAGCCAGTACTGATTGTGTGTGACAGTGTGTACGAAATGAAACCCTGGCGCTAAATTTAATGAATAAAACAAATAAGGTTTCATAAACGTTGTGAAACCATGTTACGATTCTTTCGACAAACACCGCTTTTTTCTTTTTTTTTTCTTGATCATAATGTATATATATATATATATATATATATATATATATATATATATATATATATATATATATATATTCTAATGATGGCAATTCAGCCTCGCCGAAGCCGCAGCCGTAGTGCTAGCCCGCGTGGGCGTCGGTCGTCGTCTCCAAATGGCAAAGAAGAATCACCACGAGGTTCCGATGCTCGTGGCTCGCGAAGCCGAAGTCGTTCGGGTAGTCCTTAAAGGGAAATGGTGTCCAATGTTTGCAGTAGCTGCTTCCAAATTTTCCGTTGAATTATGAAGTATTTTCCGTTTTCTCTTCAATTCTTACATCCACTGCGCGTACCTTTTTACCATGTACGTTCCTGTAATTTTATGTTGTGGTTGTGTTTGTTCTGCGAGCTGTAGCGTAACGCATTCAATAAAATGATCTTGTGTGTTTGAAAATATTCAATACAGCTGAAGTTGGGATAAACTGTTATGTCACAAGAAGGATTTCTCTTGATCCATGACTGGAACTGGGAAGCTTCAGTTCCGGTTTTCAGACTTAGGCCAAGTAACAGTACATCACAGGTTCTCGGGTGTGCTTCGTTTTTTCAACGTTCATTTTCTGTTTAGCTCGTCATTTCGACGTCCCAGTCTTTTGTCCGTGGGCTACAAAACGCTCAAAGTTGATACCCGGAGAACTTGAAGAACTGAAATTCTATTAGGAGGCAAGGACACATTTTCCTTTTTTTCTTAATTTTGATTTATAAAAGGACAGTTGGGCTGTGCGTGCTCATGTATGCATTGTATGTCCACGACCGCATCCGTAGGCTTAAAACTTCTGCAGGTACTTTATCAGGTGATAACGAATTTCCGTGCAAACAGACAGACAGACGTGAGCGCTTTATATATGACCAGTCGGATCACCCAGCCAACGCTGGGCTCTCCTACTTGTGACAAACACCCTATCCCGAGAAATGCTGAATTGAAGGAATTTTTTCCCTTTCTCGAAGTTTATATCCGCTGTTTAGCTGAAAGAGAGTATGAAATTGAAACAGAGCTCTAGTAGATTATTCACATAGGCGCTTTTTTTTTGAAAAAAAGAGATCTCAAATCAAATCGAGACATCAAATTCATCTCAAAGACATGCCCCGATGATGGCTTAACTGACTGACAATTAAAGTCTTGAATGGTGCTCACAAATGTTTTCGGGTGATAACGCCGCACATTATCAGATTTGGTTATCACGAACTTTTCTTCGCTACGGATTCATCACAAATTGGGAATCCCAGATCATTGGCGGTCGGATGAATTTAGTCAAAAAAGATATCGAAACAAAAAGAAATCTTGATGTGTCATTGAGTCAGAAACCTTGCTGGATAGCGGTCGTAGTCCGACAGCGAAAAATAAACCAAATTTTCATCTCGTTATGGGGAATTGCCTTTAATCAGTTCCTATCACTGCTTCTACCTGTCTTATTGAATGGAAAATATCAAAGAACAATGTTTGAATATCAAGGTATGACTGTTGACACGAAGGGGATAACAGACCTATTCGCTCTAGCCTTGTACATAGGCTCTTTGTTAGCCCTTTCTCGTTTGTTATCAGTCCTTGTCACCAATCACCTTCGGTCCCTTCGTATTCTACACCACCTATTGAAGTGTTCCACCGTTTATATGAAAGACGTTGTAGACCTAATGACTCCCGTCTTCTTTGGCTCGTTATCTCTAACAGTTGTGATCAATCATTATCACTGAACATCTAAGGTCCCTTCTTGATTCATATACCTTACTAAAGGACCAATGCTCCACCGTTAGTACGAAGGAGATAGCGGATTCTGCGGCACTCGCCTCCTGAGGTGCTTTATCGACTCCTTCCAATGGTTGTCACCTTTTTCACATATCATCAGTGTTCGCATCCTGTCGCATGTGCTCCTACCAAGTTTGAACGCTCCAGGTCCACGGGGACAGGAGTTATGAATTTGCGGCCCGAAATTTCTAACCCGCACGCTGCGCCCCCTGTGAACGGAGTCCGATCTGCCACCAAGCATAAGTGTTCTCCTCCTGCCCCCCTTACTCATACCAAGTTTGAATGCTCTAGGTCCATGAGGACAAGACTTATGAATTTACGGCCCAAAATTTCTATCGCCTACGCCGCGCTAGTCCTGCCACTTACCATAGGTGTTCGCATCCTGTCGCCTGTGCTCCTACCAAATTTGAACGCTCTAGGTCCACGGAGACAGGAGTCATGATTTTCCGGTCAGACACACAGACATCGACACACACAAACACACCGACAAACCAACAGACACACTTAGCGAATTAAATAGGGTAGGATGCTTGTGACTCGTTAAGCTATCCCGTTTTCTCTTTATTCAGATATCCGTCGCAACAAAATCAATCCGACCACCAAAATGTGGAAATCGGCAGGATGGGTTATGGGCTTTGATAGTGGTGTTATTAACAATTAAGTACAATATACCATTCGAGATTTTCGGTTGACGAAACAGTTTGGTCAGCCAGAGAGAAGACGCTGTGCCAGTAAACCTCACAAAGAAAAGAGCTCGACTATCAGCGGTGTTAAGATCCGGAGCAGATTATATTTCTCTTTTTAAAAACGTTGGAGGGGAAGGAGCAATATTGACGAAGGAGAGCTCAGCAGAAACACAACCAATGTAGCTAAGATGTGGTGTTGTTTACGCTCATGCGCTAAATGAATTCAAAAGAAAGCGATGGATCAGCCGATCGGTCAAACTTCGCCGAAGGGTAGAAGGGAGTTTCTCTGCGGTTTGTTAAACTGGTATGGGAAGGGCAGGCAATGAGAGAGAAATGAATGTGGTAGCCAAATTCCAAATACTGTGTAGACAAACGTAGTATGCCACTATCGATCGAAGTAACAGTGTCAAAGTACTGCAGTACAGTACAGTAGAAACCACGTTTGAAATACCCACTTCACTCCATATTACTCAATTCACTCCGCAGTGCTCACTTTACTCCATTAACCTG